GTCCTCTTCTCTACATCCATTCAAAGTGCTGAATTTATCAAATTTGTCTGAGAGTTCAGAAAAAATGAGGCAGAAAGCTGCAGTAACACTCTGCAGATCTCAGTGGGAAGAGGTCTGAAAGCTGATTGGAGGGCACACAACAACACAACAATATACAAGTATATGTCTAATAATAATAACATGGTTTGTTTGTAGATATTCATTTTAGCTGATCAAATATCTCCTGAGGAAATGAACACTGCTTTATCAAATGTGTTGAATGCATAATGCAGCTTGATCATTTTTGTTTTCATCTCTAATGTTGTTTTAAAACATGTTCTACTATTTGAAACTGCTGACTTATGCATTAATGTTATATTTTATAAGTGTTTGTATTTTTCACCAATATTTTAACATTTATAGCTGAAGCTGAAGTCACACTCTGCAGAGCTCAGGGGGAAGGGGTCTGAGAGCTGATTGAAGGGGAAAAGTCACACACCCCTCCACACAGATCACAGCAACAGAGCTGAAGCTGTCAGTCTGTTGGGGGTCCCATTTTTTTTCTTGGTGTCCGAAAGCCTTGTCAGAAGTGATCCGTATTTATAGCAGAGGAATGAAGCAACAAACAGAAACTAGAAAAGCTGCAATTTCTGGGGAAGTTGTGTGAAGTGTTCTTGCCTCCACCAGTAGTCTACAACTGGAGTGGGCGGAGTAACTGGGTGGAGTGGCTTGAGTACTGTTGTGTGGTTGTAGTGGCTGGAGTAACTGTGAAAAGGTTGGACTGGGCAGAGTAACTTTATGGAGTGGGCAGAGTAACTGTGTGGAGTATTTGGAGTGAGTAAAGATAGTAAACATTACACTAACCAATTGATTGATCAAATTTAAAAAGTTTACATGGCAAGCTTGATAGAGTGAGAAATGCATTTCAACTTTTAATTATTTATATAGCACATTTAATTGCAATGTTGTTGCCCAAAGTGCTTCACAGTTACATTAAAACATACATTTATAAAAACAATAGCAGCATTATCACCTCAAATACTCTCTACCGTAGAAAACTTATTTCCAAACCTTTAACCAGAAGCCAGCCAAACTGTCACCAATTCAAAATTAGATTTCAAATAGGGCAGAGAAGAGCGGTTAAAACAAACTGCTCCAAATTGCTCACTTCACTGGCGTCTTCAAATGGTCATAGTTTTAAAAACTATAAATCCTACAGCGAAGAACTTTATATTATGAGAATCACAAGACCCAGACCTACATTTTGATGCATAGTATGTCTCTGAAATATTAAAAATGAAGGCACAGTCACAGTTTAGAAAATTAAGGTGGCTAGAGTGCAGTTTCAATGAATGTCAATGGGCGGCATGAGTTGCAAACAAATGGTCATTATGTGAAAACTGTCAGGAATATGGCTTAGCTGTGGACATTTTTAGTGACAGCAGGGATAGCTGAACGTTTTGATATAAGATTTGTGTAGGTGGGCATGACAGTTTAGAAATCATGTCCTGATTTTTCAGCTCACACTCTAGCTTTTGTCAGCATCCACTCTAGTTTTGAACATTCATTCCTATGGGACCAATTTCACCACAAACACGCTGATATTTTGTGAACCATTCGGCGAAACGTTCCACAAAGTAATAGTACACCAATCGGGAACAATCTGCACGTTTCGGTTTATTACTGTCTATGTAGTGTAAAAACTGTGGGAGGAGTTAAGGTGGTAAATTTGGCTATAATAAGAAGAATATATATGTGAGATAACAGTAAGTGGTCTTGCCATACAAGAACACTTAATGATACTTAGTGCTCTTAAGTGAGACAAGTTCACACTATAGAGGGATATGTTTTTTTTCATATTTCAGAACCCATTATGAACCAAAAAAGACTAGGCAGAAAATGGACAAGATGGGAGGTGCAAGGTCAACTATATATAATCATTCAGAAGATGAAATTATCATGGGTGCTTTGGCTTTAAAAACTCAACTCCAGCCCAAACAACTTTTTTTTTCTTTTGGTTTTGGATAGAGCAGGGAAAAATCACAACTTCTGTCAGGTATTAAAAGCTGTCTACATCCCTGGGGAAATAAATTCAGAAATTATCAGCAACAGAACCATAAGCAGAAGGTAAAACAACTTCGCTAACTCCCACTTGTTGAGGAGAACTAGTTTCAATTTCTGCTCTGTGGAGACTCAAAAAACAGATCGTGAGGAGATATCTCCCAAACCGGGGCATTGACAGTCATACAAAGGTTTTACCTCTTCCTAGTCATCTCCAATGTTTACAAAAATGCTTTAACCCTTTCGCTGCCAGGCCCTGTACTTCACATTTCAACTCAGGTGGCCGGACAATTTTTGCAATTTTTCAATTGCTTTTTGTTTTCCCCTGACAGCTTTCAGAGATTGCAAAAGACCCCCAAACCATATATTTTCTGAAAACACATGACCAGTAGAATAAAAAAAGGTACTATTGATTTTTAGGGCCCCTTGATACTTGCGCAAATGTTTATCAAAACAATATTTTTGCTAAATATATACTAAATTTATTAGCAGATACAAACACAGCCAATTTCACAAAAGTCCTGCTAAATGTAAAAGTTTAACCTGTATTGAGTTAATAAATAATATATATTTGTATATTTTAAAATGGCGCCTTTTTGCAAAATGGTGAAAATTGAATGTACGTAAACTGTAAATCAAATTTCTCTAAAATCTGGAGGTTTAATTTGTCCCTTACAGCTTTCAGAGATTATAAAAGACCCCCATACCATATATTTTCTGAAAGCACATGGCCAGTAGAATAAGAAGAAGGTGCTACTGATTTTTAAGGCCCTGCAATATATGCGCAAATGTTTATCAAAACAATATTTTCACAAAAAATACACTAAATCATTATATATACAGTATATATACAGTATGTGTGTGTGTATGTATGTGTGTATATGTATATATATATATATATATATATATATATATATATATATATATATACATATACTGGATTTTTTCTAATTTATTTTTTACTAGTAATGGCGCGATCAGCGACTTATAGCAGAACTGTGGCGGGCATTCTGACACTGGGGGGAACTGACTTGGTGTCACTGACATCCCCAGTGACACCAACTCAGTGATCAGTGCAACTAAAAAGCACTGACACTGTACTAATGGTACTGGGCAGGAAGGGGTAACATCTTGGGCAATCAAAGGGTTCACTGTGTGCTGTGTGTGTTTTACTGTGGGGGCTGTGCGTGCTTTCCACTGTAAGCACACTGCTTTGGTATAGCAGAGCCATACAAAGCAGTGTGCAGGAGCTGACGGGATAAGAACTGTATTGTTTACATAAAATTCTCCCCCCCATCAGTAATACTCGGCGATCACCGGGTGCCGGCGAGTAATCACAGGCCAGGACCTGGTGATTAACAGCTGAGGCTGCAAATGGTGGTGCAGATAGGACACATATGCGGCTCAAGCGTGCCCTCTACCCGGAAATGCAAAATCACGTATATACACATGATTTTGAGCACCCCTGCTGCCCTGTAGAAGTATTTCTGGGCGGCGGGACAGCGGTTAACCTTTAATGAGTTAATAAATAACAAATATTTGTAAATTTTAAACTGTGCCTTTTTATGAAAAGGTGAAAATCTATCCTACATAAAAATATAAATAACCACATATTTCTAAAAATCTGGCAGTTTTAATTTTACACTTACAGCTTTCTGAGTTTGTAAAAGACCCCCCTAACCATATATTTTCTAAAAAACATAGGACCAGTAGAGCATAAAGAAGGTGCTACTGATTTTTAAGACCCTGCAATATTTTCTCAAATGTTTATCAATATTTAATAATACAGACCTAGCAGGGAAAAGGTTAAAAAAGGGCTGTGAGGCATTGTGGGTGTTCAATGATTAACTGGCTATTTGAGTTAACATGGGAATAATTAACATCTTGGGAATGATTACTTGGAAATGAACCTATGTCTACAGCTTTGTGGGTATGTTAAATCAAGAAGGTGATTAATCGGGAATATGATTGTAGATGCATATCTTTTCTATATCCAGTTCCCTATATAGGGATGGGGACTATATGTGTTTTGTCACTTGAGTAGGTTGTTGCTCATGGAGGATAGGCAGTATTTCTCAGCCCTTTGGGCATTTTGGTTAGGTGTAAAAATTAGTACTCCTGATCTCTTTAGGGAGATAGGATGTATACTCTTATTTTTCTGGAGTCTAATATGAATAAGAATGGTTCTCTGAGGATCCACCTTTTTTTTTTTTTTTTTTTTTTTCTTTTTTGAGATTTATAAATTATGGTTTTGTATTCTTAACATGGGGGAGCAAGTGTTTTGTCCCTGCACAATCCTGTTGGCCCCTTGTGGATGGTGGAGGTTCATGTTGTGGTATATAATGATGCTCGGTGTGTAACTAGTTATATGTACATTGAAATTAAGCTCAGTGAAGAGAAATTCTTTTAAAGAAATTGTTCATAAACATGTAATGGCACTATCACTTTCTACCACAGTTATGTACATTATCCCTGATGAAGAATGTTGCATATGTCTAATTAACCACTAGCCTACAGGGCACTTATACCCCCTTCCTGCCCAGGCCAATTTCCAGCTTTCAGCGCTGTCACACTTTGAATGACAATTGCGCGGTCATGCAACACTGTACCCATATGAAATTTTTATCATTTTTTTGAGACAGATAGAGCTTTCTTTTGGTGGTATTTAATCACCTCTGGGATCTTTATTTTTTCTTAAACAAACCAAAAACCACTGAAAATTTTGAAAAAATGTTTTTTTTCTTAGTTTGTTATACAATTTTGTAAATAAGTGATTTTTCTCCTTCACGGATGTGCGCTAATGAGCCTGCAGGGATGGGCATAGGCTGCACTGATGGACACTGATAGGTGGCACTGATGGGCACTGATGAGGAGGCACTGGTAGGTTGCACTGATGGGCATTGACAGGCATCACTGATGGGCACTGAAAGGCAGCACTGATACATGACAATGATATATGGCACTGATAGGTGGCACTGATAGGCAGCACTGATGCATACTGATAGGCGACACTGACTGGCATTGATAGGTGGCACTGATTGGCATTGATGGGAGGCACTGACTGGCACTGATGGGTGACATTGAAAGGCAGCTCAGTTGGGCACTGATATGTGGAATTGATGTGCACTGATATGTGGCACTGATGGGCACTGGCACGTGGCACTGATGAGCACTGACTGCTGGCACTGATGGACACTGACAGGTGGCACTTCTGGGGCCAGACTGATCATCAGGGCACACTGATCATCAATGCCCTGATGATCAGTGTACATGTCCCCTCCGCGGAAAGCCGATTACCGGCTCTCCTCAGCGTTACAGCTCAAGAGGAGAGAAATGCCGATAACCGGCATTTCCAAGTTTACATGTGGTCAGCTGTGATTGGACACAGCTGATCACATGACTGAGGCGACATCTTTGGTTCTTTCCGTGATCCACTGTGTCCAAGGGACACAGCTCGCCGGCAATCGGCGCGCTGCGCGCTCCCTGAGCCGCGCATGCGCGGTGAGAATGGCAAGACGTTATATGACATCCTATCAGAACGAGAGAACCACCTTGCGCCCGTCATTGTACTATATGGTGGGCGGAAGGTGGTTAAAAACACATTGGATCTTCCCAGTATTAGGACTAGCTGTGAATTATGTAAACATTTGAACTAGCTTGGGTGTACCACATTGTCAACATTGGTTCTTGCTGTCATCATTGTATATGGATGATATACACTCACCAGCCACTTTATTAGGTAAGCCTTGCTTTTAATGGGCTGGACCCCCTTTTGCCTTCAGAACTGCCTTAATTATTTGTGGCGTAGATTCAACAAGGTGTTGGAAACATTTTTTGGAGATTTTTGGTTCATATTGACATGAGTTACTATTGCCTTTCTATCATCTCGAACCAGTCTGCCCATTCTCCTCTGACCTCTGACATCAATAAGGCATTTTAGTCCACACAGCTGCCACTCACTGGATATTTTCTCTTTTTTGGACCATTCTCTGTAAACCCTAGAGATGGTTGTGCTTGAAAATCCCAGCAGATACTCAAACCAGCCCATCTGGCACCAACAACTACACCACATTCAAATTCACTTAAATCCCTCTTCTTCCCCATTCTGATGCTTGGTTTGAAGTTGAGGAAGTTGTCCTCACCACGTCTAGATTTCTAAATGTATTGAGTTGCTGCCATGTGATTGGCTGATAAGCAATTTGTGTTAACAAACAATAGAACAGGTGTACCTAATAAAGTGGCAGGTGAGTGTAATTATCTGTAAAAATTGATTTTATTAATGATTTATGTATTTGTAATATTTGCAATAAAATGTATTCTTTATCATAATATTATATTTGTAAAATTGCTGAGGTTGCCTTTAAAGATCCATTTTAGGGGTGAGCAACTGTGCCTCTCCAGCTGCTGGTGAACTACAAGTCCCATCCAGGGGTGGACCGACCATTCGAGCACTTGGGCACTGCTCGAGATCCCCCATGATCCCCTGTTGCCCGGTGGCCCCATGAGTTGTCAGTCCGCCCATGGTCCCATCATGCCTCTGCCTTTGGGAGTCATGCTTGTAACTGTCAGTTTTGCAATGCCTCAAGGGACTTTTAGTTCTACAACAGCTGGAGGGCCACAGTTGCCCATCCCTGCATTAGAGGTATTGTTTGTATGCTTTGATTTAAACAGGGATGGTAGCCACCCTTGCCCATAACGGAGTAGGTATCACAATTAATTATTTGTGGGTGTGGTGGGGCATCCTAAGCTTAGTATATATGGTTCTCCCTTTTCTTTCCCCTTTTTTGTCTTTTTTTCTCTCTCTCTTTTTATGTTTTTTTTTTTTTTTTTATATTGGATGTATATCTTGTTTTTATATTGATAATTTGTATCATTTGTTTTAGCTGATTATGCAATTATTATTATTATTATTATTGATATTATTATTGAATTATTATTAGTATTGATATGGTAGATATATGTATATTGAACAGTTTACAGTGTCTGCACAGTGTTGTTAGTGGTATGATTATAAAGTGTATGCATCATGCCTTTCTATGGTTTGCAATGCCTGTATGCCATTCATAAAATACATATAAAAATAAACATTGACTATATCTGTCAAATGTTTTGGTTGGAGCTGAGTTTTAACTGCCAAAAGTTTGCAGATATCAACATCAACTGAATAGGAAAAATTAGATTAAATCCTAGTTTGCTTATAATTGTAAAATTTGGAATTTTGTCTTTTTTATAAACTTTGTCTCATAATACAATTACTTAGAACAAAAAACCTTTTTCTGCCTAACTTATGTACAGTATGCTGACATGGCCTCATGTGGAATTAGGCAGCTGATCACTTAATAATAACGTGAATGACCTGTCAAATGTATTTTTTCCTGCAAAATGCAAAGCAGTCAGCCAAACGGTCACTTATTTTAGTATAAAGACAAACACTAATACCACTGACATAGTGTCATTAAATAGTTCATTCGAACACAGTAGCTGCGCTGTTTCACAGCGTGAGAAGAGAGAAATGTGCGAGTCATGAGGATCTCATTAGATACTAACTCATGTTGTGTACCTCTCACAAGCACTGTGGCTATTCCAAATCACGGAGTGAAATGTTCACTTGAAACTTGTTTTGGACTGATATTGATGATGTTTATGAGTTGTGGCACAGCATCATATTAACATGGCTTAAACATAAGGGGATACATATATATATATATATATATAACATAGTTGTGCTGAAAAGCAGGGTCATCCCTAGGACGGTGCGGGGGGTGCACTGGACCCGCTCCACGGAAAGGTAAGTTGTAAAGCAAGCCGACGATCCCCACAGGATGGATCAGATCTGTGGATTGAACATAATGGATTGGAGTCTGATCCATTATGCTCCCCAATCCACAGATCCGATCCATCCTATGGGGATCGTCGGCTTGCTTTACAACTTACCTTTTCGTGGAGAGGTCAGTTAACCCCGTATAGGTTGCATGCCGACGATCCCTCCAAGATGGATCAGATCCTCAGATTGGGGAGGATGATGGATCGGACTCCGATCCATTATGCTCAATCCGCAGATCTGATCCATTCTGCAGGGATCGTCGGAGGGGGTGTCACCAAGTGTTACCACACCGGGTGACACCAACCCTAGCGATGCCCCTGCTGAAAAGTTTGCATACCCTGGCCATGAAATTTTGAAATTGATATTGAAAATATGAATGAAAACATGACTGATCATGCCAAAAACCTGTATTTTATTTAAGGATAGTGATCATATGAAGCCATTTATTATCACATAGTTGTTTGGCTCCTTTTAAAATCAGGTAAATACAAGGAAACAACAGATGGCACAGCCGCCCTAGTGTAACTCCATTTTAATATGATATAAAAGCTTAAAACCAATTGCACTCACATGATACAATAATGTATAGGTATATCACTCCAGGTTGGGTTCTCCTAAACTTTTCTCCAGGCTGAAGCAATGACAGGGGGAGAGATAGGGCAATCACAGATCTCCCAAGGATGACAGCTCAGTCACGGCATATGACCTCTCCTGCGCATGCCACTGGACCAGCTGCCAGGTTCCACCTCCAGTAGCACTCTTCCTAGGATACACCATAACAAACACAACAATAACAAAAATAATCACAATAATAGTAACCATAAATTTCAAAATCATAATAATAATACATTTTTAAAATGAGACAGATGAGCTGCACTTCCTCATGGAAGGATAGAAGCACTCAAAATAAGGACACAATAAGGAGTCCTGTGGTCCAGGAAACATGGCTTTTAGTCCCAATCCACTGTTGATAGTAGATAGAACCTCTGGCCCTATTCCTGTAAAGGACCTTCCTAGTATGAGTACTATGGAGGAAAACCAAACCACTGGTCATTTATGTAGATCTGATCCCATGAAGACTGGAACAGAGTATATTGTACCAGTATCTAACCCCTATACCATTCTCAGTTCACCTGAGGTGTCCTTATGGACTAATCCGATCAAAGATAAGTCCCCTGCGGAAGTAGGTGGTGGATGTTCAGCCAGGGGGCATCATCCCGGAACCCCCAAGGACAACTGTCTTACCTAATTGAGATACTGTGAATACATCTTTTTATCCACACTCCCCCCTCCCGTAGAAAAAAGAAACCTAGAACTATCATAATAACTAGAGGAGGAAAGGGGAAGAGAAACAAAAAGAGGAAGGAGAGAACTAGTGACACTACAACAATAAAGATCTTCAATCTTTATTCCTACACACTAAATGATAGTGAAATTAAATTCTTGCAAAAGGACTTGAATTTTGTCCCGAGTTGCAATGCCAATTTATGTGACCTATTTAAAAACCTACATACATATATACAGGATAGTACCGTTAAATGAGTTTATAGCCTCAAACCCAAAAATAGAACCGGTAAATAGTGCTCCCAAAGATTCAGACTCTCTTGAGATAGATGGTGAGGGACCCAGCTGTGACACCCATTTCCTATTCTTCATATTTTGGAAGAACTGCTTGTAGAGGGGGGGGAATACATAGTGAATCCTGTATGTCTACCCCCTTCAACAATGCAATTATCCACACTAGCCTGAAATCTGTGTTCTATCCCCATTATGAAAAAAAGAATTCCTAAAAACCTATTATGCCATGGTTTATGTAGATTTCCAAAGACTATTCCAAAGACTATGTACCCACCCCCGGGGGGGGGGGGGGGGAAACTGTCTAAAAATAATCTTACTCGGGCTGAGAAGAAGTCCGTAGTTACCTCAAAAACAACCATAATAGTCATCCGTACAGCAGATAAAGGGGGTGGTATTGTGGTCCAAATAGGGATGACTATCTATGTGAAGCAGCCAGACTTCTTTCTGAGGATGCCACATATGAAATTTTAAGTAAGGATCCCCTTCCGGAATACAAGCAAGAATGTTTTGAGATTGTCAGCTTAGCCTTTCATAAAGGAGTAATAAATAAATCTGAAAAATAATTTTTTTCTCATTCATTATTTCAAGATACCCTACTTCTACCACATCCCTAAGGTCCACAAGGATCCCACAAAGCCACATGGGAGACCTATAGAGGCTAGCATGGATAGTATCATGAGTAGGCTATCCCAGTATATCGATATATTCCTCCAGCCAATTGTCACTGCCTTCCCAGCATACATTATGAATTTGCCCACGGGCTGGAGAATTTACAACAGTGTAGGTGGAACCCAATTTCCTTTGGTTATCGTTGGACTTATGTTCACTTCATAACCTCTATGCCCCACGAAGGGGCCTAAGAGCTTTTGAACACTTCCTATCAGAAACAGAATATATGCATCCTGACCAGTCTTCATTTATTTGCCAGTGCACTAGGTTTGCTTTGGAAAGGAACGATTTTCAGTTTAATGGGTCTATTTATAGACACATATCCAGTACAGCCTCGGGGGGCTCATTTTGCACCCTGTTGTGAAAACCTATTTATGGGATTCTGGGAGAAATTTAACATCTGGTCACAGAACCCCTC